TCGACAGCTCCCTTTGTTTTATTATAATTCATAATAATGATTGGTTTTCCAGTTTTTACGTCCACCTGACTATCATAATGTTTCGAAGAAAGCAATACAACAGCTTTATTTAGTTTCGGCATAAATGAAACTAAAGTTAGACCATCTTTAAAACCAAAAAGAGAAGAACCAACTTCGCGATTTTATTTGATTGAAATTCCCTAGGGATTTCTAATTTATTTTTTCGTAGTGTTTCTATACGAGTGAAATTCTTCTTTTGAAGTTCTTTGGCTAATGAAACACTTGTAAACAAATTATCAATTGTAACATTTCCGTTTGAACCATACAGTGGCTTAAGCAATTCTAAAACTACATTGGCACCTACATGTTGTTGTCTTTTTTGATCCGATTGTCGTCCAATATAAAGAAAAGCATTAAATACATAATATGATTCCACATCAACACATAACCAGAATTTTAAACCGTATTTATCAGGCTTTTTTGGAATAAATTGACGAAAAGGACATTTTCCTCTGAAGCCTAATAATTGTTCATCAATGGTAACATATGATCCTAGTGTATAACATGTTTTTAAATTATTCTCGAAGTATGATCAGATTTCACGAACTGCTGCAAATTTATCTGTTTTTCTTTCTTTCTTCTCTTGTTGTTTTATCATCGAATCTTAAACAGGACATCTTTTTTTCAAAATGACTTCTTGACATAGTGGCTTTGAATATTGGAGACTCTAATGGACTTCTTCTCCATAAGCATTTTAAGTTTGTCTTTGATTTTCCTAATAAGCCAGCAAGTAATAAAAGGCCCATAAAGGCTTTTAGTTCCATCTTTGCTATTTCTTCTGGTTTTTCATTAGAAGCGATGTTCCGAGTATACTCCATATTGGAATAAATCAAAATTTTCTGTGTTATTTTTTCCGACATAAAACAAATAAATGCATCTTCAATGGATGAAATATCATCAGTAATTTCGGTAGGTCCAGCTTTTTCAATCATATCATTTGAAGAATTTGTTTTCGTTGAATGCTGAGGGATTGAAAACCAGGTCATCCCAGAGCTGCAATTATATAAACTTTTTCGCGTGGAATCGTCATCTAATTCAAGAGGGCGTTCATAAAGCGTGCCCGTGAAAAAAAGGGAAAGATAGAGTCGGCCGAAAATAGACAGAGTTCGAATAAGAATGGAAAGAGAAACAAAAAAGCGCTTTTTATAGGAATATCATTTGTGACTGGTCCTTAAGATTTTCTAAATTAATTTCGTTATCATCTTCTGATGTTTGACTTTCACCATCTTCCATTTCGGAGCCACTCTCTTGGCCAATAAAATAATCGTTATCACTTTCATCTATAATCGAATTTGTCCATAATCGTTATTATAATAATGCGGACACTTGAATACCAATGATACACTGTAAATTTGTTTGAATTTCTATTTTGTAGAAAATCGACTTTAAATAAGCTAAAACATTTTCAAAGTTTTATAATTCATTCGTTGAATTTCAAACTTATAGAAAATGCTTGATTTTCTAAATAATAGAAATTCGGTTTAATTTTCGTACAGAAAATCGAAACTTGAATATCAATAGTTTAATTTCAAGAAAGTAGAAATTCATCTCCGAATTCATATAGGCATTCCTAGAAAATCATCGACGAATTCATATAGACATTCCAAAAATTACAGTGTATGAGAAAAAAAATTTCAAGTCTAGAAGTCACAAGTAAATGAAGAAGAACAAGATAAACTGGCATTAGCTGAAGCAATAAACTGGTAAGGACAGTTGGATATAAAAAAATAATCTCTTTCATGGTTTTACAAGCTTTCAATATGATATTTTAACCTCATTACTCAAAAAATATAAAACCAGAAAGAAAAGGTAAGTTATACCTTTGATCTACAGTGATGAACCATCTATTGTGGTAATTGGATAGCTTGAAACCACTCAGAAAATGTTTTTACTAGGTTGGAAATATATATCCACTTCTATTAGTAAATGAGTCATTGGATTATATATTGTAAGTTTTATTTTTTCTCCTTTCTTGTGATATGTTTGTTGTATGCTGAAGACATGGTCTTGTATCAAAGACTTGTAATGATATGGAAACAAATGTATTTCTTTTTCGATTCAACAACATGGATCTATTCGTAATGGATGCCAGTTGCTTCTAAAAACCGAGAAAAAACAAAATATTTCTAGGGTATTTTTTGATTTTTGAGTTGGGGTCAAAAATGGCCCCGGCTGGTAGTACTAGGGTTAATGAAAACAATTATCGCTCATCTACCAAGAATGATAAGATATAGATGAAAAATATCAAAATGAGTTTTTTTTCTTCAATCGTCATGACAGTGTAGAAATTTTCCTTATTGTTTTGTATTAACAAAAAGTACTAACCCAAACCCACACCTCACACTGAACTTAGTGGTGATTTTGTTTTTACAATAAACAGTCGATAAACTTAATGCCTATAAAAAATCAACTGATGGTAAAAAAAATTTTCAAATACAATCTTCTTTGTCTCAAATTTTTATTGTAGCTATGGTTCGAATAATCAATAATTTTAATGAAGAATAAAAACATAAATAGAGGAAGTTGAACAATGCTTTTCTTTGTAAATGATTGGGATTTTTTTCTTTTTAAAAATGGAATGAAGATATTGATGAACAAGTCAGAATTAAGAAAAGCAACATACAGATAAATATAATGTTAAATTACATTATGCACACAAAACAAACTGTTGATTTTAGTCAAGTAATGAATTATTGGAATAGAAACGTCTGTACCGATTGTACTATAGCTCTTTGTATAAGATTAGCTACTATCTTAGTAGAAAATCATAGAAAATCAGTTTATAACAACAATTATTACTCTCTTCATGTGAGACAAAACTTGAATTATGAAGAAAACGAACAACTTTCTCATAAGTTCATAGACTTCAACGAATACTAACGATTTTAAATGAATTAACTCAGTTAGTGAACGATTTCTCAACAAAATGGTAATAAAAAGTGATAAGCAGAGTCAAAACTTTCAATGAGATCTTGTATTCTGTTATGGAAATATTTTACAATAGGATTGCTACACAGTATTAAATATTATAATCAGAAACTTCATGTTTATGTCTTATTTATTATCTGCTCGTCATGTTGATTACTTAGATAAACCTTTGTATGCTTTCCCGAAGCATTCAACTTTTATTTTAGCTCGATGAAAATACAAACGTCACCATAATATTGATACCTGCCCGAATGAACTTGACATTTCTTTTAGAAGAAATCTTTTTATATAATGTATTTTGTTTAGCTTGAACATGATCTTGATAAAAATCTTGATAATGAATGTAATGGAACAAGACAATTTACATATAAATAAGTTTCATTCTATTTTAATGAAATATTTGATGACTTATATATAAAATTACAATTCATTTCGTGATGGAAAAAAACAGTTGATAATGCATGTAAATTTTTGTTAATATCTATCTAAAGCGATATCTATAATCACAAACTTTCTGAATGGCTTTATTGTAACAACCAATACAAACAGAGAAATCTAGGTAGATAGACAAGAGATGTAATCTTAGTATAAATGGTTTGGTTATAAGCTGTTTTGAGAAGATGTAAATATAACGAAAGTCCAATAATGTGAGATAAATGCTCAATTGTAATAAAATCGATACAGATAATGATAGTCAAGGAATATGTGATAAAATGGTACTTATGTCATTTTATTTACATACTTGAATCAAGTTTGAAATGGTGAATCTACAAAAAATATCAGATCGATCTGTATAAAATACATCATTTTTTTTATAATTGATCCATGGAATTTATTTAATGCTACTTACTCGTTATTGTTTGGGCAACAAGTATGTGTAACTTACCTTTGATTAAGCAAAATTAAAATTAAAACTGTTGTTTTTGTATTAATAAAACTGATTGTCTCTTTTTTTCTTGTTTATTTTATTTTCAATCGATATAACCTTTTCGATAATTAAATGCCGAAATCTTATATAACTAGGTAAAGTTTTTTTTTTATTAGTAGATCAAATCCTATAGATAATAATAGACAGGTATGAAAATATTGCCTGAGAAAAAGAAAAAAGAATTAAAAATAGTGTAAAGCAGAAGTTCTAATAATCCTAAGAAACATAGGTCAGGTCCATTCATAACAATCTATGAGTCTCGTTAGCCTGCGTCTGCCTTTCATCCATTTTCGACGGCCTGACTTGTGTAATATTTTTACAGACCAATATTATGATAATAATTCAATGAAAACAAAAGATTGTTTTTATTAGAAGACAAGAAAGTTGTGCATACAAAAATGATATGGTTCTACCAGACATTTATTGATTTAATAGAGTATGTATTTGATAAGAAAAGACAACAAAGAAAAAAGAAATCATTACTGTTTAGAACCTGGGTTTTTTTTAAGAAAAAATTGTTTTGAATGAGTGTAATGAACTAATTGAAGAAGATATAGCATGTCTGACCATGTCACGACAACATAAATATTTTAGCAAAGCAAAATAAATAAATAGACAATAAACAATGTAATGACAATCTGTTATTAGTCATCATTGTATTCAATCAAAATGTTAAAAAGACTTTTTTCAGCTTAAAGAATGAAGTTTTTAATTGAAAATTTTAACACCAGAAAAAACATGAGAAGCAAGTGTTCTACCTTACCTGTGACAGTCTCAATGACTTGATTAAATGTCTGACATCAATACTGTCATTTACGACATAGAAATCATATCGTAATAGAATATTCGAAAGCAGTAAAGAAGATATTCTTCACAACCAAATAACTATTGTTAGAGACGTACGTTACAGTAGAAGCGTACAAGAAAATTATTTTGATTTGCAGACATGTGTACGACTATCTGTACTATGCAATATTTATACTGCATAACTGTCACATTCAGACTGCATGTGACAAACATATATTGTATATAAGAAATAGAAAATTTATTAATATCAAAATAATATGTTTTATTTTCATTTTAGATGGTGAGTCAATGTAAAAACTATTGTAACATTATAGATCGTCGTATATAATTTTTTTTCCTTCTAGTTACCTTTGACACTTCTTCGAACTGCTGTTTACCATCCTATGGTAAGTAATTTTTTTTTGAAATATAATTTTATATTAATATTTTATATTAATAGTTGGTAGAATTAAAAAATGGTGAAACATATAATGGACATTTGATTAGTTGTGATAATTTTATGAATATTCATTTACGTGATGTTATCTGTACTTCTCGAGTAAATTGTCATGTTTTATTTTTGAAATTAGACATTATCTTAATTATATCTATAGGATGGTGATCGATTTTGGAAAATTCCTGAATGTTATATACGTGGTAATACTATCAAATATCTTCGATTACCCGAAGATGTACTTGGACTTGTCAAAGAAGATACTAATGAAAAACCAACACGTTCAGGACCACCAACACGTCGTCCATTTCGTGGTCGTGGCGATGGTGGACGTGGAGGTAAAATAGAAAGCAAATAATAAAAGTTTTAATATGAATTTTTTTTCAAAATTCATAGGACATGGTGGTCGATCGGCAGGATCTGGTGGTGATCATCGTAAAGGTGGTGGCGGTGGTGGTCGTGGTGGACATCAAGGATCACGTGGTGGTGGCCGTGGTGGACAACAAGGCGGACAACTTCGTCAAGGACGATAGTGTATGAATAGCAATAATAACAATAATTCTCATCAAAGTTCAGCATATCGTCTTCATTTTTTTTCTAGCTCAGATCAACAGCTCGAGTGAAAGACATTCTATAGCTTATTGAAAAAAAAATTGTTTGTCTTCTTTTTTTTTTCTTTTCTGAATTAAATCATTGTAAAGAGATATAAGTACTTGAATTTACTATCAGTAAATCAATAAGCTAAATGATGAGAATATTGGACATGTGTGCAAAAAATAGTTAACGAAAACGAACAAACTTGAATTTTGTTCTTCACAAATCAAAGACAATCATCAAACTTTAATTGATCATTTTGCTGTCTTATATATTATGAAAAGAATTATGACATGATATAATTTTGGAAAAAATTGATAAAAATATTGCACGTTATGTTCAATAGTTCTATCCTTTTATGAATACACTTGATCTAGATGATTCTAATTTGATTTTTGTGACGAAAAATAAAATGATTTTAGACGAATTCGAATAGTTAATTTCAACGACGCACACTATTGATGTTCATTAAATTAATTATTATTACATGGAATATCAGACAGTGATGGACAAGGATGATTCTCTGATCTTGAAAATTTTTCGTTTTTATCCAGCGAAGTTTCAGCATTTTACTGTTTTTCTTTTCTTGCTGCCCAATTTCCAAAATACACCCACATACCCCACTCCAATATATTAGAAAGAGTGAGCTGAAATTTTAATAACTTTAGTTGATTTATTATTCCGTCTGTTCATGCAGTTTGGAAGGATTATTTTCAGCTTCATTATATTACACAACATCTTGAAATATCAATTATCAGTCAATCAACTAATATTATATTCTTTCGTGTAATATATGTGCAATTTTTATTAATCTGTCTGATTTTCTTCATCTTTTATATTGGAAACAAGATCAGAAGTTTATTTTGATGTTCATATTTCGCTCAACTTTAATTACTCAAACATTACACAAAAATATATTAGACGTGTAAAATGCTAAGTCATGTTTAATAAAGGAATCATAATGTTTCATGATATCGATGACAAAATTTCGTTGATTTAATAATGAATACAAATATCATCGATAATAAATTCTGAATAATTAGACAAAACAAGAAAGAGAGATTAAAACTCAAATAATAATTATTAATTGATAAAAAATCATTAAGAAAATTAATTAAAGGAAAATCTATTCAAACCAATCATTTATAATAAACAATTAAAAACGACATCTTTATTCTCCTATTGGTTATTTATAGATTTGCTTTTGTTTATACTTTAGATAATATCCAACTATAATCATTGAAAAGTTTGTACTCAAAAATAATCTCACGAGGATAAACAGCTGACAGACATGCATCATATGGATAATTGTTGCTTTCGTGTTCTGCGTCATACTGATTAGATTCATTGGATTGTTTCTTGTGCGTACAAAACGCATGCATAATTCTATTATCATTCAATATTATGTCCTTCATATTTTACGTTGATTTATTTTTCTAGAATTTTTCTGTATAAAACAAAAGAAAAACTTTATCTTCAATGTCAAATCCAACGACAACAACAACAACAACAGCTCAACGTCGTTTAATGCGTGATTTACGTGATTTAACACAAAATCCTGTTGAAGGAATAAATGCAGCACCCGTTAGTGCAGATAATATATTTCAATGGAATGCTATATTAGATGGACCTGGAGATAGTCTTTTTGAAGATGCAAGTTTTGTTTTAACACTTAAATTTCCACAAGATTATCCAAATCATCCACCTGATGTTAAATTTGTTACAAAAGTATTTCATCCAAATATATGTAAGAATTTCTTTTTTTTTTTGAAAAAACAAATTGAATCTTTTTTTTTTCTTTCTTATTTTATAGATATGGATGGATCAATTTGTCTTGATATATTACAACAACGTTGGAGTGCAAGTTTAGATGTATCAACATTACTTGTTTCTATTCGTTCATTATTAACAGATCCAAATCCAGCTTCGCCAGCTAATTCTGAAGCAGCTATGCTTTATCAAAATCATCGACGTGATTATGAACGTCGTGTACGAGAATATATCGATCAACAAATTATGGAAGATGACGATAATGATGAAAATGAACATGGAAAGTCAGCAACAGATAAAAAGAATAATGTTGCAACAACAACAACAACTTCACCACCTCCTTCTGCCAGTGACTAGTCATTTATTGTTTTTCTTTTTTTTTTTTTCTTTAATATGAAAGAAAAAAAAAACAAACAATTCATCAACAGTGTATGTGTGTGTATATATTACTCTAGATTTTCGCGTATGGGTTTTGTTTCATTTGCATATAATATTGCTGCTTAGTTTGTACCTCTCATATGACGAATATTTTTTTTTTTGTCTCTCACTTTTTTTATTGTCACATACAGAAAAAAATATATATAAACGAAATGAACAAAAACAAAATGTTTTTTTTTTTATGTTTCTATTCGGAGATTAACTGTAGGATAGAATGAGAAAAGATTATGTATGAGAATGTTTTGTATATGTTCGAGTAAACATTGATTAATTGTAATATAAATTTGATTTTGAGTATCAGAACGTTCGATTTTAATTAAACTTTTATCTCTTGTTCTTCCTAATGTAAGATTATAATAATCAAGTCGTTCATAAAATAATGGATGTAAACAAATTAATAATCTTTCATAGAGTCCATTTGGTAGAAAATATGAATTACCATTAATAATTTTAATAATATGAATTAAATCTTGATTAATAATTTGAGAATCAATTATTTCAATTTGATCAAATGTTGGTAAATTTTCAATTGTTATTTGAAAATCTTCTTGTGAAGAATTTATTGCATTTTTTTCTAATATATTTTCATCTTCATGATCTGTAGCAAGCCATATTTGATATTGTTTTAATCTTCTTTTTTGTTCACATTGAAGATTTTCATATGAACGTTTTTGTTCAAGTAATTTAAAATAATCTTTATAATTAATATCAAATATTTTTTCATTTATTAACCATGGACAAACAAAATAAGGTGTTGTAAATTCTCGATCTAAAATAAATTTAAAACAAAAAAAGAAAACTATTCTAAAATTTTATTTTCTTACAATTTAAATTTGATTCATTTAAATAACCAAGATATAAATGTTCCATTAAATGACACATATCAATAATATTTTGTTCAATTAAATTCGTATTATTATTAATATTTTGTTCATAAAATAAAACATTAAGCATATTCCATGTATATTCACCACGTGTTAATAAACGTTGTCGATCAATATTAAATAATTCTTGTGTTTGATAATAACCAGAAAAATGAAATACCATATTATCATCATAATTTAACCATTCATTAATATGAGGACGAAATATAGTACGACATAAAATATTATTTAATAAATAATATGGTTTAATAAGAATTATTTTTGGAGAATTTTGTTCGAAACAAAGAATATCACCTGTTATTTTTAAATAATCAAGACATTCATCAAATGTCATTTGATTTATTTCTTGTTCGATTAAGTCATTTTTTTCATTATTAGATAAGACAGATAATGATAAATTTTCTTGTTGAAAACGTTGTAAACAAGTATCATAATCGATTATTAATGAATCTGATTGAATAAATCCTAGACGTTGTTTAAGAACTTGACGTTTTTTTTTATGATGTATAATATTCCATTGTTCAGCAATAATTTCTAATATTTCAATAAATCTTTCGGATATTTCTTCTTTATCTAAATAAATTGGTTCAGAAAAATATTCTGAATATAAATTAATATTTTTTCGTTGATTATTTTCATCAGTTAAAAACATATTGACTTTTGAATGAATTTCATCAAGAAGTTGTTGTTGATGATCATTTGATCCTAGTTGATAATTCATTATTAAACCAACAATTGCAATTGATGCTTGTTGACAATGATCAGATATAGATTCAATATAACGAAATATATGACTATATAACCAATCTTCTGTTAATAAAGAATCATAATCAATAATTGTTATATGATTTTCATTTCTAGAAATTAAGAAAAGAAAACTTTTTGGAAATCTAATCGGTTTTAGATTGATAATTACATATACATTCATGGAAAAAAAAACTGTTAGCGCAATTCCTGCGGGATTAAAATGTGAAACATGATATACCTATTGTCACTAATCACTTAAAAACTACTCCTTTTAACGTATACTAGACATATTCCATCAGCATTGCTAAATTTACAGAATAGAACTTCATAAAGGAAATATTCCAATTAGATGTTACTTATGCATAACATCTGGCAGCCTCTTGAAGGCGGCTATTAGTTGCTATGACGATCCATGAAGGGTGTCTGTCACAGTCTGTGGGGAGGAGGTGGATACAAATTTCTACCCTATATACTGCAACGCACCTTTCAAATTATGTTTCACAAAATAATTATACAGGGTGAAGACATTATTTACGTCCATGACAAAATCATAGAACATATTACTTTATTTAACACGAATTAAACTACAAGCATTCTTCTATAATTAGAGGAAAAAAACTAGCCTATTTCGATAGAACATGGTGAATTTGTAATGAATTTCTTTCAATAATTAGCTGTTAGAACCTATGATATACAAGACACTTGTTTAGGACTTGGACAAGATGAAATTTTCTTTCCATTAGATTTCCACGAACTGAGTTTTGTTATTGTCTTCTCAATTAACTTTATTAAATTTATCATCACTATAGAAATAAATTCCGATAGAGCTTGAAATTTTCTAGCGTACTCGATAGTTATCTTTTATCTTAAATTTTATTGTTTGAATAATAATTCGATCACAGCAAAGATATTTTCAATGACAGGAATATATTTTTTGAAACACGATCTAAAAGGAGTGTTGGCGTATAAAGGATAGAAATTTGCGCCTCTCACAGACCGTGACCGACGTTGTTGATATATGATCAACGATTGTATATGAATAATGTCTCGTTATAATCTATGAACTATTTCCTTATTGCATTTATCAAGAATTAAGTAAAAAAAATGGCGAATAAATGTGCCCAAAATAGATAGAATAAAACAAATTATTTGTGATTAGGCAGAGTAGCTACATGATGTTTCATATTTTAATCCTTTAGTAGTTGCGGATCATCTCTTTAAAAAAAATTATTCAAATTTACTAGATAAATCATGGTACTAGGATCAAAATACTCGAAAACTTCGGCTATTTTCGACTATTGTTGAGCGTCAGTTGACGTTTTCCAGTATTTTGATTCTAGCATCATGATTTATTGTGATCGAAAATACGATTTGCAAGCATTTTATCGTTGGTAGACACATTATGATAGCGCTTGAAATTCTCTATCATCCTACATATTTCTTTCTTGCCTTGCATTTAAGTTCTAATAAATAATGTGAGAATTAGGTAGCCACACTCATTGAGAAATCTTTCAAAACTAGTTTTTTTTTCTGTTATCACATTCTTTTTTATTTCAAATTCAGCGTTCTTATGGAATAAATTTTACAAAAATGTAACTACATATGCTAGTAGAATTACATTTAAAAAGTTAATTGGAAACACAGTGACAAAATTCAGTATATGCCAACCAGCTCTTAATTCAAAGTTCAGATTAGAGAATGTTTTCAATAATTCTTCACATCTGAACTAGACCTGAGAACTTGTCGACCTCTAAAATTCAGTTTGTAGCAATATAAAGATAAGGGTACCTTCATTGCAATTGGTTTATTCATCAACCATTAGGCGCAAATCACAACATAAATATACAACATCATAGAAAACTTCAAGCTCTTTCACAATATATATATATATATATATAATGATTTCTTTTTAAATGTTTTTTTTACGGTAGCAATAGATTTAAAATATGTATTTATTTTCTTAGAGATATATACATACTCATTCATATTTTCTAAACTTGTTGCTGCTTGAATAATATTTGAAAGTATAGTTAAATTAACTGGTAAAATAAATAAAGCATTTGAATCATAAATTAATGGATAAAGTATTTCAAAACTTGGTTCATATGTTATATCAAATATTGTACAATATAAATTATTTTTTGTAATTAATGTTGATTTATACATGAAATTTTCAAAATATTCCTTTGATCGATAAGTTTTAAGTGGTGGGGGATTAATTCGTTTGATTTTTAATGTACAATTAAGATTATTATCAATACTAGTTGATATAAGATTTTCAATCCATTGATCAGTTAATACAGATGATGTAGCATCACTTAATCGTTTTTGTTTTTGTTTTTGTGCTTCTTTTTCTTCATTTAAGTTTAATTGATTTTCTTGAATAATTGATACATACATATCAAGAGTTTTTTGTGTATTAGAAATAATTTTATGATTATTAAGAATTTTTATTGTTAAAGTTGTTTTACCAATATTTTTTGGTCCAATTAATATTAATTTAAGATGATGAAAATGATCTAAAAGTTGTTTTTCTTTTCTTTCTATATAATCAAATAATGTTTTAATAGATACTGATTTCCATATATAACTTGGAGGATCTTTTATTGGATTTCCAATTAAATGAAGACCAATACGTTGAAAATTTTCATCAATCATATTCATTGATTTAAGACCTATCATATGACGAATTGTTAATGGAAGATATTCTATTTGATTATAACGTAAATCAAGTGTTTCTAATTCTTTTAAATTACATAATTCATTTGAAATTATTTCTAGATTATTATATGATATATCAAGTGTTAATAATGATGAATTTTGAGAAAATCCATTTTCAATTATATTTATTTGATTATGATTAACAATTAAATTTTTTAATGTTGATAAACGAGCAATATGACATGGTAAAATTGTAAGATTATTATATGATAAATTCAATATTTCTAATCGTTCAATTTTAATACAATATTCTGGTATAGTTTGAAGTTGATTATATGACATATCAAGTATTTTTAATTTTTCCATTGTACATAATGATTCTGGTATATTAAAAAATGAATTATTTGATAAATATAATTCATTAAGATTAAATAATGTATGTTGATTTGGTATAGAATTTAATTTTGTTCCATTTAAATCTAACATTTGTAAACCTTCAAGTTCAAATATAACTTGTGGTATATGTTCAGAATGTATTTTTCCTTCGTCAATTAATTGTATCATATAATTATCAAGTAATTTATAAAATGTTTGATAATTTATTTTAAATTCATATAATTGTCGACATTCAACAAGTGTTTCAGGTAAATTATCTATTGGATTACTAGTTAAATCAATTGTTTCAAGTTTTTCACAAAAACCTAGTTCAGGTGGAAGTGTGTCAAGATCCATTTGAGATAAACGAAGATGTCGAAGATTAATTAAATTACCTATAATTAATTATATGAAGGTGATACGATTGACACAGGTTACACGCTTAGTGTGGTCGATTTCCTTGAAATCACTTCCAAGTTTTTGACTGCTGTATTCCTCTTACAGAGAATCGAAAAAAAAGATTTTAAAAATTTATTATTTTTTTTTTTAGCAGTCAAGAATATCAAGTTAGACGTACTGATTACGAATATCGATACTGCAATTCTGAGAAATATAATACTGCATTGAATTTTATAGACTAACCTCTAAAACAGCATATCTCGTATGTAATTTTCAGGTTCTATCAGAATTCGTTTCATCAGTGCGAAATACGAGCAGGATTAGGATAAGATAAGTATGGAAGTCCCTCTTTTTAGTTTTCGTAGTGCACTAAACAGTTTTGAGCTGGCATCACGATGAAAATTCTGATATGCAAGCAAAAATGCCTTATTTTCCTTATCATTGGTTTACTTTTTTGCCTTCTGGTCAGCATAATACAATGTTTTTTGTTTATTTATACTGCATACACGTGCAGATACTTTAATCAAAATATATCAAAAGTTTTAGTTACAAAGAGTGCTTCTTTGTTGAGATATGAGCTAGACTAGAAATGCATATGTTTCATAACGGAAGTGGAAAATTCATCTTCGTTTTACACATCATACCTCAAGAAGAATAATTTCATTTTGGCTGAAATTTTTAATATGTAATAAAGGCAATGAGATTTCTTCATGGTAACATTCTCGATATATGAGTTAGAACGCCCAGTGAAATAGTCATAATTTTGAAAATGAAGACCTATAAGTTTCAATTCTCGTAGTTTGCTTTGAATTGTAATATGTACTAACTGACATGGTGAGTTTAATCATTTGCCGGTATTTTCTTACAGCTATGTTTTTGCTGTATAAATATTAAATTGATTTCCTTCCGTGACCAAAAAAATTATGCTTACTCTTCCTTTTCGATTAGATGAAGAAAAATAAATTTTGTGTCAGATGTCAAATTACATCATTTGCACATGTCTGCAACATAAATGACCAAAAAAAAAGAATTGCATTATGCTGATTAGAAGGCGAACATGTAGATCAATAATAAGCAACATAAGGCATTTTTGCTCGTATATCAGAATTTTTGCCATGATGCCGATCTTTTGGTTATCAGTTCAATGACATATTTGAATAGAACTTGAAAAATTACGCCAAACTGCTATAATTTCATTTGAGTTCAGAAACTGTTCAGTGCACTGGAAAGAGGGACTTTCATGTTTATCTTACCCTTATTCTGTTTGTATTTCATCTGGATTCTGATAGAATCTTCAAAATTACATACAAGAAATGCTGTTTTTGACGTTAATCTATAAAGTCCGGATATAGGTCAAACTCGAAAATTCAATTCTGCATTACAGTTCTCAGAGTTACAGTGTCGATATTCGTGATCAATACAGTTGACTTGATACCCCTAACTACTAAAAAAAAAAACCGAAATTTTGGAATTTTTTTTTTCGAATCTTTGTAGAGGAATACAAGGCTCAAAGATCCGAAAATGATTTCAAGGGAATTGATCGCAGCAGATTTGTAGTCCATATCAATCTTGTCATCCTCATATAGCTATTCCTTGAAAATAGCTAAGGATCCAAAAAGTGGTCTTAACGTTACTGATTCTTTCTTTTCTATTTAACTTACCAATTTCACCTACAATATAACCAATTTTATTTCGACTTAAATCTAGTGTTTGTAGACTAACAGTATTCCAAACAGCAACAGGAATATGTTTTAATGAACATTCAGACATAATTAATGTATGAAGATTTCGTAAATAACGAAATTCACGTGGTAAACAACCATAATCATCGAGACCATTTTTTACACGTAATGGATTTCTTGATATATCAAGATATTCAAGATTGATTAGAGCACGTATACTTGTTGGTAAACCTGATAAATTATTATTTGATAAAATTAATCGACGAAGAGTAACAACTAGAAATGAAAATCAAATTCAAGACAAAACAAAAAAAAGAAAAATTACACATACGTTCCAAGATTTCTGTTGGTACCGTAGAAAGACCACGAGAAGATAAATCTTGTCTTTCAGAATCATTAACTTGTGATATTTGTCTATTATCCGTATCATTAGTACTTATTGAATTTTTCTTTCTCTTCGAACCTCCTTTACGATTTGATGATGGTGATTTGGATTTTGATGATGATGATGTTGTTGGTGTTTTAACATTAGATCGTTGTTTTTTTGATGTATTTGATTTTGATGATGATCGATTTGTTGATCGATTACTTGGTGAAGTTTCAGAACGTTTTGTTGAATTTGTTTCTCGTGTATTTCTTTTCGATGTTTGTGATGATGTTTTTTCACGTTGTTTGTCTTCATCATATACACGTGTATTCGATGGTGTTCGATGTGATCGAGAAGATGATCGGCTTTTTGCTCGTTGTCGTTCATCAGCAGACAAACTTATTTGACGATTACTACTAGACATGTTTGTTTGCGTTTGAATGAAAGAAAAAGAAAAGAAAAAGCAAAGCCGGTTGTCAGAGCAGTCTTTTTTTCTGTTGTTTTAATTATTTGCTTACCCACACGTTGTTTGAAGGTGACACGATTCTTTTTTTTTTTTACATCGTCTCAAGCTCTTTTTTTTGCTTCGTATATCAAGCGTGAACCCATACAAAGGATATTTAAATTCACCGATAAACACAGATGTAAATGAAACTACATTGAACAATAGCTGCTCAAGATCCTGTCTCTAAGCAATACTTTACATTTATTTGAATATTGTAGATTCTTTTTCATTTATAGTTTATCGTATTTTTTAATGGCAGGACGGGGATTCTTTAGCACTTCATCGTATTACTACGATATCGACGCAATTTTTAATAACCATAGACGTGAATTGGGACAGAAAATATGGGAAGCAGAAGGAGAGATTGATGCTTGGGCTAGAACGCTTCACTTTCAAATCGATGAACATGTAAAAGAGCAAAAACAATTTCTTCGACAGTACTATGACGAGCAGCAATTTGTTTTGAAAGCAAGTAGGGACGAGTTCATTGGCACAGCATGGGAATATTACGATAGAAATGATCATCGACAAGTTGACGAACTACTGAGAAAATGTAAGAATTTAAAATTGGAACTACTGATCGCGTTCGATTATGAAGATCGGTCGCTCTCATTTATAAAATATATGAAAAAAGAACAGCTCGACCAAAAAAAGAAACAAGAACTTAACACCGAAAATAACAGATTTGAAACACAATCAGCGTCCAAAGATTATCGAGACACTGACAAAACCAGAGATCCAGGCATAGGCTCATCATATAATTCGACACACGTGAGTGGACAACAAATTAAGTGAGTATCTCTAATATAACGTCTGTTTCATGTAAAATTTCGGTACTTTTTTTTCCAGTGGATTTTCATCGACATCAAAATCTGCAATAACACATGATCCTTCAGCGAGTGGTGGTGCTAGTCAGAATGATCAAGCTACGGGCGGTAATATCTCAGAGGATAAATGTCCGATGTGTTTCATGATATATCCACCAACTATGGAAGAATACGATCGACGTCGACATGTCCAGGAACATTTTAACGATAATTGACGAAGTAAAAGAACAAAAGTTCTAATGTAAAAATTATTTCTTTCCAATGCTTGCTCTTTGTTTTCGTGTTATGAAGATGTACATTCCATTTTTTTTATATAATTTTATTCCATAGTGAAAATATGCTAAGCAAGATTTCTTTAAATTATCAAAATCATTTTATTTGTTTTCTAATACAATCATTAATAAAATCAAGATAGAGGTATATTCTTTTTTTAGACAAAAGACACATGCTTCACATCCAAAGCACAAAACATTGTACAAATGTGTTCATTTAACCATCAAAAAATTTATCATTGGTATTTTAATGAATCTCTTCAGTATAAATATAGTCGTCACCGAAATTAATTTGACGCCTGTTATTATCAATTATTTTGATAATCAACGATTGACAAGTCAATCAAATAAATGCATAGTATTCATTAGTTGTTCATCACTAGTCTAAAAAAAATATGAATGTAAGTGTAGATAAATGAAGTATTGTCTTGAAAGAATCATGTTTTCTTCTACTTTATTTTCTTTGATGTTTCAGTACCAATCTAAAATTACAGATATAAACAACATCCGTTTATTATTTAGCAAAGTTTTTTTTATGAATAAACATTTGTTCTTTTTGTCTTTGGTGCTCGTTTAATTATGTTTTGAATTCTATTTATTAAGGATTTCTATGAAAGTATACAATTTTCACTTACATATAAGTAGATAGTTAACACTATACATATATGATGAAATTAGAAAATATAGTTTTTAAACAAACAATAAATAATTTAGATATTCTCTAATGATTGTATATCGAATATTAAAGTTTCTAAATTCTAAATACTATTTTTTAAAAATCAACGATAACATTATAAATTTGAAAACAATTATTTGCATGGAAAATATTTTTTTTGGCCTCTATTCTCTTCTATTTGCATGTTTTTGCGTGGTATTTACAAAGTAACTACTCAGAATATTGAAAATAACGAACAATATAATCATTTAAACATCAAACCAAGTTTCATTCGAACTCTATTATTATTGAATACATAGACTCATCGCTTTCTGTCTATATTTCTTTGTATGTGTTGTATTGTAAAAGGATTTCTTCGATGGTCTGGAAATATTTTATTCTTTATCTTTACATAATAAATATCATAATTGATTATAGCGAGAATTTGACATATGTTCTGAACTTTTCTTTGTCGAAAAGCTACCTAACGAGTCAATACAAATGTTTAGATACTAGATGTCAATTTTTCGATATGGTGTTATTACGGTCTGCATCTTAATGTATTAATGTTGATGTCCCATGTAATCGAGAAATAGTTTACTCGATTCTTTTTCTTTCTTTTTCTATGATTTGAATCGAAAAAAACCAATTGATTGAGATGCATATGTAGCACATGAAAAATAATCAATGCAAAAAAGAAATATTTTCTTAGACGTTTTTTTTTTTCTTCTTCAGAAGTTTTACTTTGTAATAGATATATATTTATTTTGAACAATTTTAGATTATTATTATAGATATTTATTAATTTTTTGATGTCGAGGGTTTCAGTATTTGGTTATACACTTATCAAGAGCCGATCAGAAAAAGAAATAAACACATTATTTCAACAGTATGAGAAGACATTGTCTGATCAGAAATCAAAAATGTTGAATATGATCAATGAATGGGGAGATACGCTTATCCGCAGTATTCGTCAACATGTAAATAAGCAAACTTATCGTCTTGAGCAAGAATATGACAATGAAGTAGATTATTTGAAACAACAAAATCAGCTATTTATTAATGAACTATATATACGCGAGCAAACGAATACGACTGAACAAATTGATCAATTACTTGATCGTTGTAAGGCTTTAAAATTTGAATTAGCTGCACTAGAATATAATCAACAACCTATTCAATTGATTCAAGTAACACGGCGAGAATCAGTGAATATTAAGCTAGATGAATTCAATATAATCGAACGTAGAAACAAGAATTTGGGACAAAACTCACTAGTAGATAATAAGCGTGAAGTAGAATATGCTGAAGATGCTTATAGAAACTCATATTCGACAACAACATTTGCAAATACTCAACAAACAGAGTAACTTTATATGTTAATAAATTTATCTATTATATGAAGATTAATTTCCTTCTTTTTTTGTAGTACAAACCCATCGACGATGAATCTTGTGAACGTGTACAAATGTCCGACGAGTAATGACAATGGTCAAAATTTTGTTGATGAGAGAGATTATGATTTACTTGAAAAATGTCCTACATGTTTTATGATATTTCCACAAAGTATGGCCGCATATGATCGATCTCGACATGTTCAAGAACATTATACAGATGATTGATAAATAAAAAAATAATAATATTTTTGTTACAGAATATTTTTTTTTCTTCTTTTATTCTGAAATGAAAAAAATACGAATTCAAATTGTGTTCTAAATCATGAGATATGTTTATATTTATGACCGATTTTCGAATAAATAAATTTAATCCAAAATATATTCTTTTGTAGAGGAAGGATATAATTTTATGTTGCATAGAAATTTCAAATAGGAATTTTTCAGTTACTTTCAACAATTATGAAATTTCAAATCTTCTCCAATAAACAAGTCGACATTATTCATAATTTATCATCATCCCATATAAAGAAACACGAATGTACAAGAACAGAGATGAATCTTTACAATGTATTTGGAAGTATTGATTTTTACTTCACTGCTATATTCTTTCTCTCGTTAAGTACCCATGTAATTCAAACAGGACAAAAAACGGTCGGTATACCGATCAACAGCCGATAATAGTTTGGTATCGAAGAGCGAGTCGAATTGTTTTTACCATATTTTTCGTTCTCTATGTATTTTTATATAGAAAGTTAAGAACAAGCTTTTCATGCCATGATATCTTGTTTCTAGCTTTTATGCACAAAGACAAAATAATAACTGTTCTACATAAAATGAAATGACACAATAAAAAAAACATCAACTTTTATAAACAAAAAACCTTAACTTAAAGTTGTTTACAAGCAAAAAATATTTATTAACATATAAACTAATGTCTTATCGCATTTCAAAGATGTTAAAATGTAAATTGTATTTGAATGATCCGATTTCATTGAAAGACCGCTTTGAGAAAACATACTTTCAACGGATGCTGATATAATAGGAACACACATGTTTTTTCTATTCAGGTTTCTTAAGAGGCAGTTCATGAGAGGATAAAATATTGATAAATTGTCTTACAAATGTCTACTAAGATTATACTTCAACAAGTTAGAGAATTTTTTCATACCATATACCAAAACATAGAGCATGAAAAGTTAAACAAAACGAATCATCTATTTATTGGAATTATATAGGCTAACATGATTGAGAAAGGTGACAATTTATGAGTTCATAATGGTCAATGTTTGACAGTCTATCTGTTGTCATTTTCTAATAGCAAAAGAAACTAAACTGAAAAATGGTAAAAAAAAATATTGAAAGAAAAATTTAACCTTCAGGACGAAACGAGGTTCACACCTTTTTCGTACATAGTGATTTTTTGGTGATTTTGCAAACGAAAAAAAAAACATTTTTAGCGTTTGTCATTGCCATGAGGCAATTGTAAAGCAAAACAAACGTGACATTCGGAGTCAGCATCAAAAACTACATTAAGTCAAATACATTTTAGAAAATTTTTTTTCTTGCGAAAACCTAATCCCTGGGGGATTACAGGTGATTTTTTTTAATAGGAAAAAAATTGCTCTAAAATGTATTCGAGTCAATGTAGTTTTTGATGCTGATTCATAATGTCACATTCATTTTGTTTTACAGTTGCGTCCTGGCAATGAAAACTGCTAAAAATGTTTTTTTCTTCTTTTAAAAAACAAAGAGGTGTGAACCTCGTTTCATTCTGAAGGTTAAATTTTTCTTTCAATATTTTTTTTTACCATTTTTCAGTTTATTTTCTTTTGCTATTAGAGAATGACAACAGATAGACTGTCAAACATTGACCATTATGAACTCATAAATTGTCACCTTTTTCAATCATGTTAGCCTATATAATTCCAGTAAATAGATGAGTCATTTTGTTCAACTTTTCATGCTCTATGTTTTGGTATATGGCATGAAAAAATTCTCTAACTTGTTGAAGTATAATCCTACCAAACATTTATGAGACAAGTTATCACTTTTTTCTGAACAGTAGGTAAATAGTGCTAAAAAACTTGATCTAGCCTAAATTTACTATAGAACATCTAAATGAGTTGAAAATTAGATTTTGGTGGTTTTAGATGATGGCCTTTCGAATACACATAAAAAAACAAAAATCAAAATTTTGACCAAGGTCTCGGTTCTTCAGTCCTCTTATGAGCTGTCTTTTAAGAGATTGCTATGAATTTCATTTTTGGAACATAAGATCACTGATTAAATTTTCTTCCTGCAGAAAATTATCAATTTCTTCTGGTACTGATGTTGAATAATCAATTTATGCTTTTTTGAATTAATCACTCGGACTCATCCATTCCTACAATCTACTGTTGGTATACCTGTAGTAGTACGAAAAAAACATTCATCTTGCATGAAAGATGTATACAGGTGGAATAAAATATGAATAAATTATAATTTTTTACTTGGATTTAATTGGATAAAATTTCTCTTTATTTCATTTGTTTTGCTTTGAAAATTATCTCTATAGTTCATTATGTATTAATTTAACAGTAATACGTAACATTTTTTTTTATTACTATACCTGATCCTCACTCGATCTGAGCATGTATTTGAAAGGAGAATAGAAGAAAAAAAAAAGCACGCTGCTGATGGAGTAGTCATTTTTATTCTTTCGACTATTGGTTTGCCAACATGTTTTTTTTTTTTGAGTGACTCGTTCTTTTTTTCCTATAGATCACAGTGAATAGAAGTGAGTAGAAGAACACATTTACTTTAGAAGCAAATATTTGTTACATGAAAGAAAAAGGGCTTTTGAAAGTTTTCTTTTTATAACGGCATAGTGATCTGAAGGAAGTTTTAGATTTTTACTGATTTAAATCGATTTCTGTATGTTAGAACAAGAATTTTTTGACGAGACATTAGAAATGAAACCATTGGAAGCAGAAATTCGTCATTTATTTAATCATCATATCAGCATATTGTGTAATCAAAAATGGAAGATAATCGATGAGATTACAAAATGGAGCACAACACTTATTTCTCAAATTCAAGAACATGTTACTCAACAAAGAAAATTTCTCGATCAAGTATATGAAAAGAAGGTATTTTGTCTTAATACTATACGTGATCGTATCCTTAAACAAGCTCTAATATATGAGCAAAAAGAAGACAATGAACAAGTCAATCAATGGTTAAATCAATGTAATACTTTAAAACTTGAATTAGCTACACTAAATTATATTAATCGTCCAATTTCAACGATACAATTAGTAGCAGAAGAACAATCAATACAACCAAATACAGATGAACAAAATGAACAAAAGACTGAAGTTGAACAATCTTCAATGGAACTAATCGATAATAACGAGAAAAATATTATCAATAATACTGATACAAATGAATACGAGCCACCACAAGTGACATCTACGAATACAGCATCAATAAAGTCAGTTTCTCTATCAATATATTACTTGATTGTATACATTTCGATCTCATTTTTTTGCAGTACACCATCATTATTGACAAAATCTATGAATAATGAGGATCAGTCGATCATAAACAATTCTAAATTGAAAAACAATGTTTCCAATGATAATGAGTTACTCGGAAAATGTCCTGTATGTTTTATGATATTTCCACAGAGTATGACTGCACACAATCGAAATCGACATGTCAACGAACATTATTAAGTTAATTGATAAAAAAAAATGTTTTTACTTCAAACTAGAAAGTTTTTTAAACCTCAGTCAATATTTTTTATTCATATAAATTTCAAAGCTGATAAATATTTTATATTATATGCGTATATGTCTGTACATCAGAAATTGTTAAGAATAAAATTTTTTGCTTTGAGAGTATATATAATTGATTTTGAAGTATAATCTAAAGAAAATAATGTCACCGTCCATAATCATTATCACTAGTATGACTGTGATCCCTAGAAATCAAGAACTTCTTTAACATGTGCCCATAATGTTGAAAAGAAGAAAAGAAAATATTAACAAAGTAATTATGTTCTGTTCTAGCAAGAACACGTTATTGAATTTTTTTTTATTCGTCCAGGTCAACTTTTTTTTTCTTTCTTTTACTCAAAGTCATGGTTGTATAGAATGAGAATCACATTGTATCAAAGTGATGCATATATATATATATATATATAGACTTAACATTTTAGATTTTTATTTACTATTGTCACCTTCATTATGTCCAGTTATAAGCACCTTTATTCACCAGTTCGACAATGTCAATCAGAGACAGAAATTCGCAATTTATTCGAACGTCATATGAAAGTATTGTATGATCAAAAACAAAAGATGATTAATGAAATTACCGAATGGGAAAATAATCTTATACGTCAAATCCAAGAAAATGTTGCTAATCAAAAAACTCTTCTTGAACAAGAATGTAAATATCAACTAAACTATCTTCAAGCTAAATGTCAAGAATTTCTTGATACGGCATTGATCTATGAAGAGAACAAGAATAGAGAAGAAGTTCGTCAATTGATTGAACAATGTCACGCTGTAAAATTTGAAATAGGTGTATTTGAATATCCAGAAAGACTTATTCCATTTATTAAAATGCAAAAAGAACAACAACGCGTAGAACTTAAACAAGATGTATTCAACACACATCAATTAAACAGTAAATCGACAAATAATGATAATTTTAGAATAGATAATAATAAAAATTTATATGCATCTACATCTTCTATGTCAACATTTGCAAGTTCTAATCAGATAAAGTAAGTTTATTAGATCATGATATAATTGTCAGGGTTTATTTTTTTGTTTTTTGTAGTCAACAGTTATTGACAACTTTATCTTCTGTTGATAATAATCATTTGATAACTGACAATAATAATCGAAATTCTAACATGATAAATCATCATGATATCCTCAATAAATGTCCTGTTTGTTTTATAATTTTTCCATCAACTATAGGAACTTCTGAACGATCGAAACATGTCAATCAACATTTTGGAGACAGTTGAAGAAATAATACAAGGTCATTCGTATTCAAATATTGCATTGTTTACGAGTATATCTGTTCTTTTCTCAGTGAAGAAAAGAGTATTTTATAAAATTTCTATAGTACTGCTCACAATATTTTATTTTTATTATTCATCGAGATTAAAAAACAAGATTCTGACTATTGTTTTTTTAATGTATAAACATGATTTTTGATCGGCAGATTTTTTTAATATAGAATTCGTTTTCTTGTAAACATGCGATCAATCTCTCTCTCTAACATAAACATCAGGGTTTAAAAACGTAAATACGGGAAAGAATACTACTAATTTAAGAAAAAACTCAATTGACTAATACTCTGGAAGTTTTTAACTACCACACACATTTCTACATCTGTCACAGTTGATCTGGGAATTTACCCAAGTTTGAAATGCATAAACAAAAACGAATTAAACATCACATTTACATTATGAATCATTCAATAATTGATGTTTGTTTCTTTTTGTACTCAGGTTCTGTCATTATAGGGATTTTACATTATTGAGCGGTTTTTAGGAATATATTTTACATAGTTTTAAAATAATTACATATTGAAGTTTTTCATTTTTGACAGGATATTTTCACTGGGTTTCTGTCACACATACAGGATATATCTCTTATGAAGCTGAAAGTTTCAGTGTTTCTAGAGCTCGAGTAGGGGATTAGTTTGGTATCATTTGAGTGATTAAATATGCTGACATCCTTAAGTTTCGAAAGTAATGTTTTTGCACCTGTTGATAGTCATGATTTCATAGGCAATGATTGTACTCGGATGATTATTTTTTCGTCCGTGATTTAAAAAATTTTTAACTTTCTAAAAAGTATCAGGAGATCGCTATAAGTGTTTTCTACAAATTAGTTTTGTGCCATTGCTGAGTCACGTTTTTCCTCTTCCTAAGGGTCAAAAAAAATTTCTTTTTCTTCAAAATCCTCAGAAGCATATAATTTATATGTAATTTTGTGCGCTGATTACGAATATCATATTTATATTTTGTTTGGAATGAGTTTTGTATATGAAAAAAAGTATCTCACCTTTAAAAGGACTATAGAGCCATTGTTCTATATATTAGGCTATCTGCGGGGTGTGTAAAAATATTTTTCCAGGTAGGTAACATTGTGATTTCAAATAACATCAACAATAAATTTTATAGTAAATTAAAGCACGTCAAAAATGAGATTTGTCAATAATAAATAGTAAGGGTTAAGGCAACCTTTCATTATCGTATTCAGAAAATTCCTAAAGTTTAACACCAAATCAGCGGAAAAAATCTCTTTCTTAAAGCAGTTCAAACTAGATCTCATATAAAATGATGAATATCAAAAAGTTAATTTATTTCTTACGATTGGACAAACATAATCACTAATCACTACGACGGCCACTAGCGTTTTTACAGCAGGAATATGAGACGAATACGAACATAAACTAATTTCAAATAGTTTAATGCTTGTTGATGCTATTTGAAATCACAGCGTTATTCTTCCGGGAAAAATATTTTTACACACCTTCTATAAGATTCAGAACTAGAAATTAATCGCAAATTGAAATCAAGCAACAATATTATATTGACAAAGTAAAATTCTAATGTATGATAATAGAATAGGTTAGCTCAATACCTGCACGATGAAAATGTCAAACATGATATAGACCTGTATATATTGTAAATTAGAAAATTCTGTAGCACAGAATTCAAGTTATCAATTCGAACGTACTATTAAGGTATGTTCTTGGCGAAAGATATTAATCGTAATGTATGACAAGAAGTTTCGAATGAAGTTCACACGACACGTGTATTAAATCCAATCGTTTTTGGATAATAATCCGAGAGTAGAAATACTTCTAGAAGAGGTTCGACGCCTTCTAGAGGACAGTGGTGGAACCGCATCTAGCTCGTGCCTTAATCATGTCTGTGGAGAAGGAGATCTTAATTTCACTCCCGTATACTTCAACACTTCCTTTAGATCGTGTTTGACAAAATAGAGTTTGAATATTGTTGATGTGGATTAGAAAATAGTGTATCTTAAGGTTAAAAGAACTTTTGCCCATTGATGTTCTCAATGTTTGATACTATGTAGTACGAAATGAACGTAATAAAGTCAATAAAAAATTAACTAATAGTAGATATGAATATTGCATTGATGTTTTTATCAAAATCTTAGATATAAAACAAGATCAATTCGAATGAACTTAACGATTCCATAGTTCAAACTCATGGCGATAAGAACTGTAATACTATATTATATAAGATCTTCTAAAAAATCAAATTCATATCGAAAAGATCATTAGTGATCAGATTTGACTTACCTTGTAGATTTTATCATATTGACAATCTCAATAAAAAGTCTCTTATCTCTACTTCAACTAAATGTCTGACGAAATATTCTTAAATTTTAGACTTTAATAATGCTCATTCAATATTATTTAATGAATTTAACTCATTTTCTAAACTATGACAAATAGGAATTAAAAACCTAAATAATATTATTAATTCGAATCGTTTTTCTTGAATGTATATTATCTCATCTGTATTTCATCGAATGAATGCCTCGAGTACATCGTAATGGATGTTATTTTTGTATTGAGCTTTGCAAGATAATTTAAGGACCTCCCCCCCTTTCCCCCCTCAGAAATGACTTCCCACTTCGAATCAACGGTTTGAGCTGAAATTTTCAGGAACGATTGGTCCTAGTGAGAAATGCTTGTGGTAAAAATTTCAGCTCGGTATACCTGACTAGATCGAATTTCCGGCTTGTCTTCCTACCTTCCAGGAGAATTCAAATAACTCCGTCGTTAAAAAGGGTACAGAGCTCCGACTGATTTCAAATTAAAGCAACCCTCTGTGCGCAACTTTTCATTGGACAGAATTTTGAAACTTCCTTCCATTCATTTCTTATGACCATTTTTGTGAAAATGGTGTGCAACATAAGCATAAAGAAATCCTACTCCACGACAGTAAATTCCACTTTTCTCAGCTCTGGAATCAAATATCAAAAATTCGCCCGATGAAAAGTTAGCTTTGATCAAGACCTTTAGAACAAAAAAAACATCGGTGATACCTCGGACCGAGGAAAAGTTATTTCAATTTTCCTGTCTAGAAACCGTGTTTTGAGAAAAACGCTAAAGAAGTTTTAGAAATGGATTTTTGCATTCAAATTCAGAATAAATCATATTACAATGGTATATTTTTAATATATTCTAATGGACTATTTGTGAGTACGTAATAGATGAAGGTAGCTAACGCCATCTGACATGCTCATTAATATAAAAATGTTCTATTCAATGATAATACACGGTTGGAAAAAATATTATTCCAGGGGGGTAACGCTATGATT